CTGAATGAGACTGGTGTCCTCTAGTGCTGTTTGTATAAACAAACCTAGGGCAAGGAGAGAAAATTAACAAAAGTTCTTTGGATTCCTATAAGTTTCTAGAGTAGAAAGGAATCAGAAAACTAAACGATTTGGGACAGCCTACTCTTTTTTTTTTTTTTTCCCCAGGCAAACAAAAACACATTTGTATTTTTCCTGGTACAATATGGTCTCAACCACTCATTAATTATCTTTTAACCAAAGCAACTTCTGTTTTACATAGAAAACAGAGAGGCAGTGATGTGAGTCCCCTCACAGACATCTTAAGCAAACAAGCAAAATTCACGATGGAATACAGCTTCCACAGCTACATGTATGCCCTTTGTCCCTTCTTAAAATGGTGGTATGCCCGTAGCAGTGACCTATAACTCTGCTCTCCCTAGAGCACATCAGAGGAAGAGGCAAAAGTTTATAAACTTTAAATTGTACATAGTAATCAGTGTCGGTTCTATCACAGAAATTATCTAGGTATCCATTAAGTAACTAATCCATTAACTAACGCATTGTCCTAGAAATTGTCTTGACTGACATGTTATGGAATATATTGTTTTTCCCCCAAAAACTCATTACCCCATCCTAATCATGAGAATGCAGCCAACAGATTCCAGTTGAGGGACATCCTATAGCATACTTGGCCTGTGTTCTCCAAAAGTGCCAGAGTCACTAAGAAGTAGATTGTCACAGCCAAGAGAAACTTAAGGAAAAAGACAACTAAGTGTAACATGTGCCCCCAGAAAGAGGTTAAAAACTAAACTAAGAGAATCCAAGTACTTGATGGACTTAACCTATCTCTACTGATTCCTTAACTGTAACAACTGTGCCTTACTATGTACAGTGTCAACAATGAGGGAAGCTGGGATGGATGGGAAATACACTATTGGTTTGATTTCTTCTAATCTAAACTCGTCCTAACAAAATAAAATCCAGGGAACTGGAAAAATAGCTTAGGGATTAAGAGTACTTGCTGCTCTTCCAGGGGACTCAGGTTTGGTTCCCAGCACCCATGTCAAGCAGCTCACAGCCACCTGTAACTCCAACTCCAGGGTCTCCAACACCCCCTTCTAGCCCCAGCTGGCACCCACAGACTTGTGCATGTAGACACACACAGATACATAAATAAAAAGAGTTGTTTTTAAAATTTAGCTAGGGCATAGCTCAGTAGTAGAACCCTTAGAAATCTGTTAATAAAAGAGTAGGGGCTGGAGAGAGATGGCTCAGCAGTTAAGTGCACTGACTGCTCTCACAGAGGACTGGGGTTTGATTCCTAGCACCCACATGGTGGCTAAAAACTGTCTGTAACTCCAGTTCCAGGGGATCCGACGCCCTCTTCTGACCTCCCCAGGCATTGTACAACACGGGTTTACCTACCTACATGCAAGCAATACACCCATATACATTAAATGAAAAATATATAAAATATTTTTAAAAGAGTAGAAACAGAGGCTGGAGAGATAGCTTAGCGGTTAAAAGCACTGACTGATCTTGCAGAGGACCCGGGTTCGATTCCCAGCACCCACATGGTGGCTACAAACCATCCTTAATTCCATTTCAGGGGAATCTGAAGCCCTCCTCTGACCTCCGCAGCATTGCACAACACAGGTGCACTCACATACATGAAGGCAATACACTCATACACATAAAATAAAAATAATTTTTAAAATATTTTTTAAAAAAAGAATAGAACTATATAATTACTACTGAAATTTAAAGTTTTCCCAAATAATAATTCAGTTTCACTTAATATGAATGTAACTCTTATAATTTTAAACATTATTCTTCTTAACTCTGAATCCTTTTAGGTATTCAAGTTCACTTAAGTAAATCTTTGATAAATAAGACTAATTTCGATTTAATAAAAACAACTTTCCCCTGCATCCATGTTAAGCATTAATATAATATTACAGCATGCATTTTATTCTTTATGGATTTGCTTTTCATAAACTTATACTGGTTGGTGATAAAATAAGCTGAAAAACAATTTGAAAATTTAAAAGTAACACATTCAAAGTGCTAGAAATTTGGTTTCCCAATTGCCAGGAAATTTGTGAATACTTGATTGCAGTAACTTAAAACTATAACAAAAGCCTTTTATTTGAGATTTTTGTAATTTAATCACCAGTATTATCCAGAAGTAGAAAACATCTCACATTCACATTCAGACACTTAGTCTTTCCAAATTGCTGACATACATGGTAAGATTATGGCTTTTTGAAGCCATACCTTCTCCCAGAGGTCCAGAGTCAAAATAACTCAGAAGTCTGATTTTTAAAAAGCTGCAGAGTTCCTAATTTAAGGTTCAGATAGAGTCATCTGAACAAGAACATGTAACAATCATGGAGCTGGGGTTGTTATTCCTGCTTGGTAGAGTACTTGCCTAGCCTGCACAAAACCTGGGTTCCATCCCCAATACCACATAAACCAGGCATGGTGGTGCATGCCTATAGTCCAAGCACATGGAAGGTAGGGGCAGGAGGATCTGAAGTTCAAGGTTATTCTTAGCTACATAACTCACTGAATGCTTAGCATATAAAGCCAAGCTTACAGTCAATGCTGCTATTAGTTTGTTAGCCACATGTGAACCAGAAACAAAACTCAGAATCAGGAGAGGGAATAGAAGAAACTAGAGAAATTGTCATTAAAAGTTCTGTTGTATCTTGGGATTCACTGGGAGTCAAGGAACGGTGAGATGCACCACTCCATGCAATACAGGTCATCTGTCCCGGGTGATTCTACTGGGCATCAGTGAATGACATCCAAGACTGTTGAAGAGGGGCTGGACAGATGGCTCATCAGTTAAGAACATTTGCTGCTTTTGCAGAGGACCAGAGTTCGATTCCCAGCATCCATGTCAGGTCACTCACAGCCACCTGTAATTTCAGTTTGAGGGGATCTTATGCCTTCTTCTGGCCTCCACAGCCACCTTTGCTTATGTACACATATACATACACATACACATAACTTAAAAAATAAATCTTTCTAGCCGGGCGTGTTGGCACATGCCTATAGTCCCAGCACTTGGGAGGCAGAGGCAGGCAGATCTCTGTGAGTTCAAGGCCAGCCTGGTCTACATAGTGAGTTCCAGGGCAGCTTGGGCTACAGGGAGACCCTGCTTCAAAAAGACCGAAAAAATTAAATCAATCATATCTTTCCGGGTGTGGTGGCACATGCCTTTAATCCCATATTCAGGAGGCAGGGGCAGGAGGATCTCTGAGTTGAGGCCAGCCTGGACTACGTAGCAAGTTCCAGGACAGCCAGGGCTATACAGACTCTGTCTCAAAAATAACAAGATAAAATCTTTGGAGATGAGGGAGGCTTAGCAGTTAAGATCACTTGCTGCACAGTTGTGAGGACTAAAGTTTGGATCCCAGTACCATGTAACAAGCCAGGCATCCCACACATGCCTATAACACTAGCTCCAAGTAGGGTGGAGATGGAAGGATCACTTGTTCTTGCTAGCTTCTAGCCTAGCTGAGAAACCATGAAAAATATGAACCCCAGATTTAGAGAAAAAGAGGACACCTGACACTCTTCCGGCCTATACACATGCACATAAAACTGTTATAATTTTACCTTCAAAAAAAATCTGTAATTATAATTTATATAATGTGACTATTGACAAGCATTTCAGCTCATTGAGTGTAAGGGAACTCAGGCTAAAGAGAGAGCTCTTAAGTAAAGTGCCTGCTGCCCAAGCATGAAGACCTGATTTCAGATCCCTAGTGCCCACATAGAAGCTGGGCACTGCAACATGCATCTGTAACCCCAGCCTCTCTGTGGGATGGAGGAGACAGGACAATTCCTGGAGTTGATTGGCCAGCTCATCTAGTTGAGTTTATGAGCTCCAGGTTCGGTGAGAGACCCTTTCTCAAAAAAATAAGGTGAAGAACAATTGAGGACTTCACCTGACTTCAACCTCTGGCCTGCACAACATGCACACATACCTGTATACACATGTGCACAGATTCACATGAACACCACACACATAAACACATAAAAAGTGTAAGTGAGCTCATAGAATGTTCCAACCAGTTAGTCTTGCTGAGATTTATTTGTTTGCTTGTTTATTTTTGAAACAAGATCTTCCTGTAGCCCCAGCTGGCCTGGAACTGCTATGTAGACCAGGCTATCCTTGCTCTCACAGAGATCCACCTACCTCTGTTTCCCAAGTGCTGGGATTAAAGTGTGTGCCGCCATACCCGGCTCCTGAGTTTTAATCTTTAGATACCTAACAGTTCTCTCCCGTTCTTCCTACTCCTACCGCCCTGACCTGGCTCAGGTCTTCAGCTGTCTTGCTGGGTAACTGTATTGTTTCGCAATGATGCTTTCTGCAACCCAGACGAACCCTTAAGAATGCATCACTTCTCTCACCTGATCACTGCCCCCTCCCCCCCCGCCCAAATTTTTTTAGAGATTTCTCATGTGTCACTATAGCCAAAGTGGCCCAGGAATCTGTGTATCCAACAGGCTGCTCAAATTATGTTCTCGACAAGTTTGAAAACAAGATAAAACTCAAGCCACCAGGGGATCTTTTACTACTCTCCGCTTTTCACTGCCAGGTTACTCAAAGTTTTCTTTACCTGGGTGTTCAGGTCAAGTTTAGACTGCTTTAAAAGCCTACACGTGGGCTGGTGAGATGGTTCAACAGTTAAAGGCACTTGCCACCACCTGATGACCTGACTCTAATCCCTGTGACCCACATAGTAGACGAAGAGAAATGTAACCAAAAAACATTTTTGAAAAAGCCTACACATGTACCGTCTCCCGAAAATGACTCGGATGCTCCCCTTCTGTAGCTCATAGTATCTGTATTGAAGGAATTGACCTGCACTCTTCAGCATGGTAATTTGAAGTTTGTGATCCACGAGTAACACACATTTGCTCAAATGGATCGTGGGCAAATCAGAAATATTTCTGGCCATGGGACTCTAGCTCATGTGGCTGAGCTAAGGTATTTCTCATTTCAGCTCCTGGTGGACCCATGTAGAAATGGGACCCCCAGACCCCATTCTGGGGGTCACTGAAGCCTACAAGAGAGATACTAACAGCAAAAAGATGAACCTGGGAGTTGGTGCATACCGGGACGATAACGGAAAGCCTTATGTGCTCCCTAGTGTCCGCAAGGTGAGCTTGCTACCCATCTCCTGCTGGGTCAGGATGAGCAACCTGAAGTGAGTCTGAAGGCCAGGAAGAATGATGCACCTGGATTCGGGGGCCCATGTTCTGTTCTGGTACTGGCTTCTGAATTACTCCGGTTTTCCTAGCTACAATCTTCCTTAGCCTCGATTAGACTAGCACACACCTGAAGTCCCAGCTGAAGCAGGAGGCTCACAGTAGCCCAGGAGCTCATAGCCATCCTGCCCAAATAGCAAAGACAGTGTCTCAGAAAAGGGGCAGGGAAGGCTTCCAGAGTTTAACTTACTAAACATTGTTATCGTAGTAGATTGAAGGAGGGAGGAGAAACTAAAATACATTTTCTCTTGTCTAGGCAGAGGCTCAGATTGCTGCGAAAAATTTGGACAAAGAATACCTGACCATTGGGGGCCTGGCTGAATTTTGTAAGGCTTCTGCGGAACTGGCCCTGGGTGAGAACAACGAAGTGCTGAAGAGTGGCCGGGTAAGCCAGGCAGGCGCTGGCCTCTTACACAGTCTGTTCATGTGTAGCAATTTAAACAGATTTGAAAAGGCTTAAACAATTTTAAACATATGGCAAACAACTTAGCTTGTGTGTATCATGATGAGGTGGTACACTTACCAATTACTTTTTAGATAGTAAATGGTAATCATTAAAAGAGTTCATAAACACCAATTTTAAAACTATCAGTTAACTTGAAAATTTGACAGAATGGACTGATAGCTTTGGCCTATTGCTATCAGCATCTACATGTTATATCATTTTACATATTTTACATAAATATGTGTTAGAAAGGCCTCACTGTGCCTGGTTTTAGGACTATAATTAGTCCACAGATCATGTGTGAAGCTTCCAACGTGGTTGGAAGAAACAGCAGGAAACCAGCCATGAGTGGACTGAGTGGGTGGAGCTGGTGTGTGTCCTCTGCTGCTGTCACACAGCCTATGTGGGCGTTGAGAGATATCATGTTCCCAGTGTATAGACTCATACATTGTGGTTTACTGTCTTCTGTGAGAAAAAGAGAAAATGTGTCTTTTAATGAATACACTTGCAAATTTAATTTTCTATCTAAACCTAAGATATAAAAAACGTACAGGCTAGGGTGTATTAATAGCTCAGTGGTAGAGTGCTCTCCTGGCGTGCCCAATCCCCAGCACCACAAAATAAAACATGCTGGTATTACCCTAATATATTCACTTGCTCTTTAAGAACCTTTGGTGGTCAGAGTGTTGTTCCATTTTATATAATTCTAGAGTAATGTTTTAATATGGTGATTATTCTTAGTGCCTTTTTATATTCTGTTTTAAGTGTGTGTGAGAGAGAATTCTACAACATGTGTGTAGAGGTCAGAGAAAAGCTTGTGGGAGTCAGTTCTCACTCTTCACCATATAGACCCCTGGAGATTGAATTCATGTCATCAGGGTTGGCAGTAAGTGCCTTTCTTTACCAGCTGAACTGCTCCCCAGCCCTTTTTTTTTTTTT